GTAGGAATGCACATATCTTCACAGAAACTGATATAAGATGTTACAGTCTCTGTGAGCTTGTCCAGATCGTTTGCAGCAGCTTCAAAAACACTCCAATCAGTGAGGTCGAAACAGGCTTGTAAAACCCACTCTGTTTCATTAGTCCATCTCTTTAAAGTCCTTAATACAGGTTTAGCTGATGCCAGTTTCTGCCTGTAGGTCGGTATAAGATGAACCAAACAGTGACCAGAGAGCCCCAAAGCTGCCCGTGGGACAGAGCGATATGCATCCTTTATTGTGGTGTAACAGTGATCTCTGATGATCAGAGTGAGCTGTGGTGAGACATGTAACATGCTGTCTGTATTTTGGCAGTTCACAGGAGAGATTTGCTTTATTAAAGTCCCCGAGAATGATTAAAACAGAGTCCGGGTGTTGTTGCTCCGTCTCTGTGATCTGATCAGCGAGTTTCTGTAAAGCCAGGCTCAGGTGCACTTTCGGTGGTATGTAGACACTTCTGAGAATGAACGAGCAAAACTCCTGTGGCGAGTAGAACGGCTTACAGTTAATGAAGAGCACTTCTAGATCGGGACAGCACATCTTCTTTAACACAGTTACATCTGTACACCACCTCTCATTGATGTAAAAGCATGTCCCTCCGCCACGTGATTTCCCCGTTGATTCTGTATCGCGATCCGCTCTGAACAGCTGAAAGCCCGGCAGATGTAGCGCGTTGTCCAGTATGGCGTCATTCAGCCAGGTTTCCGTGAAACACAGAGCAACAGAATGTGAAAAATCCTTGTTTATTCGGGAGAGCAGAAGGAGTTCGTCCGTTTTTTTGGGTAGAGAGCGGAGGTTCGCTGGATGGATGCTAGGCAGCGCCGTTTGAAGTCCACGGTGTTTAAGCTTCAGGAGCGCGCCGGCTCGCTTCCCACGCTTGTGCGTCCTGAAGCGTTTGATCAGCACCACTGCCTCCGCCAACTACAATGTCCAGCAAAACATCAGAATAGACAAAAACCGGTTAAATATTGGGTGGTGTGTACTGCCGAATGTTCATCAATTCGTCTCTGGTGAAACTGATTGCAGGGATATAACTAAAGACAGGACAAACTAACAAAAACATAAAAACAAATGCGGAGCACGCCACGGAGGCAGCCATCAGCAGCGCCATCACGAGTCTTATCAAATTTTGTTATACATAAAATTATGTATAATACATAAAATATTAAAAACAATGAATTTTAAATGATACATTTTAAAATGATTGCAATTTTTATTATTTATTTTGTATTATTCTTAAATTAATAGATTTAATGTATGTAAATATATAATTATAACTTTACATTCTTAAAATAAAAAAATAAAAAAATGTATTTACTGTATAAATTATGTGGGGCCTTGCCTGATTGGGCAAGCAGACTGAATCACTACTGTTGAGCCCTGTGTTTAATTAGTCAAGGAAGATAAAACACTTGTTAAGCTGAGGTAATAAAAAATAACAAAACTAGTTGTCACAATCACCTGCCACCACTTCACTACATTTCCCAGCACCCTTCCTGACTCCCCCCTGCACACACACCTGTCACCTCATCACCTCAGCCGAGTCTGAACCACACACTCGATGATTGTGTGGCCTCCGGATACCTATGCCACAGAGGTCGATCAAATCTCCTTTTCTCCTAGTTCCTTCGTCACAGCCACGGAGGTCAATCCTAACTCCTGTATTTCCTGTCTTCCTAGGTCCCTTGCTACGGCCATGGGTGCTTTATCTATAAATACAGGTGGCCTGCTGCCGCCAGCACCACCTTGGTCTCCAGTACTGCCTGCTCCTCCATGGCCCACCCTCCCTTCCTGGTTGAATTCTGTTACTGTAGGCGTGGGGTCACACTTTCCGGGAGGGGGAGTACTTTCACTATCACCTGTCACCTCTGCACTACATTTCCCAGCACCTTTCCTGGCTCCCACCTGAACGCACTTGATAATCACTGTCACCTGCCTTCAAACACCTCATCCCTATATATTTCTGCACCACACACTCGATGATTGTCAGGTCTGTGACTAGGACTACTCCCTGTTACTCCCGTGATCTGCTCACATGTATACTCACCTTATATCATATACTTTACTTCTTTCCTCATTTAGGCTCAAGAATCTCAAGTCCCTTCCTGCCCAGAAGACATGCCAGTCCACAAATGAATCCCCTAGTCTGATCCAGACAGTGAAATCCCTGAGTTCGTCCGTTCATGCCCCAGAGCCCAGCTTAGTGTTCACAGCAAAGTTGGATCCAGTGACTAACTGAACCAGAATTAACATCTGCTCTGTCTCTAATGGCTCTAGCATTTATGTGTGTTTGGGCAGCGCACATGCCCGTAATCTTCTCCAAGAAAATTTGCACCATTAACTGGGGGTCTATACCCGGACAGCTGAGGTGGCTGTTCAAGAAAGTTAAGGGCAATGAATCTCCTGTTTTCCTGGTTCCCTCGTCACGGCCACAAAGCTTGATCAGATCTCCTTTTCTCCTAGTTCCTTTGTCATGGCCACGGAGGTCGTTCCTAACTCCTGTATTCCCTGTGTCCCTAGCTCCTTTTTCACAGCCATGAGGGGTTAATCTATAAATATGGGTGGCCTGCTACCACCAGCACCTCCTTGGCCTCCAGTACTGCCTACTGTACCTTCTTTCCCTGGTTGGATTCTGTTACTGTAGGTGTGGGGTCACACCTTCCAGGAGGGGGAGTACTGTCACGATCACCTGTTATCTCTGCACTAAATTTCCCAGCACCTTTCCTAGCTTCCACCTGCGAGCACTCGACACTCATCACCTCAGCCCTATATATGTCTGCACCACGCACTCAATGATTGTCTGGTCTGTGACTAGGACTACTCCTGTTACTCCCGTGATCTGCTCACATGCATACTCACCTTGTGGATTCTTCCTCATCTCTGAAGCAAACTCTTCCTTGGTGTCCAGTACTGCCTGCTCCTCTATGGCGTCCTATCTTGTCTGCACCACCCAGGTGTCCTGCTTCCAACCAGTCATCTCATCCACACCCGGGTGCCCACCCTCTGTCCCTGGTTGGATTCTGTTAGGCGTGAGGTCTGCACTACACACTCGATGATTGTGTGGTCTATGACTAGGACTACTCCTGTTACTCTGCTCATCTGGATTCTCACCTTGTGGATTCTTCCTCATCTCCTTCTCCAGTCTCCAGTTCCCACTGTTCGCCTAATAAGACCTGCAAGAGAAATATATACCCCTCCCTACTGATTCTTCCTCCAGTCTCCAGCTCCCCTTGTGTTCTCCATGACCCTGTAAGATAAGACTGCCATTTATTATGTTTAAGCTACCGAGATCCATAAGTGCGTGTGTGGTGCTACTCACCTCCTTCCATGGACATTATTGCTCACCCTCGCTATGTTGTTACCATATGCTCACCTTATGCTCTGATTTCCACAATAAATCATTCACCAAACCGAGTCTGTGTATCCTGACACTAGTAGAACAGTTGCAGGATTAATGGAGTTTACAAAGTGTGTCTTTTATAACAAGTGGATATACTGTGATACTGGTTTGATCATATATTCACACACAGTCTGGTAAGAGTTAGGGGTTAAGGGTTAGTTCACCCAAAAATTAAAAATATCCTGTGTTTTACTCACCCGTGGGGCATTCTAGGTGTATATGACTTTCCTCTTTCAGACGAATCCAATCGGAGCTATATTAAAAATTATCCTGGCTATTCCAAGCGTTATCATTGCAGTGGGCGGGTGTTTCTCTTTAACAGTCCAAAACATGGTAAATAGAGCTCGCACATCCATAATAAAACGTGACTCACACGACTCTGGGGCATTAATAAAGGCCTCCTGTAGAGAATCCATGCATTTTTTGTAAGAAAAGTATCCATATTTCAAGCGTAATAAACACTTTGCTCTCACTTATGTTGACTGTCGTACGCGGAAGGCGTTCCGGCGGATGACGTAGCATGTATGCGCAGCGTGCGCGCCTCTGAGAAATGCTAGTCTCGCGAGTTTGATCACAGGAGCAAAGGAAGAAAAGTTGCCTTACTTTAGCAAAGGAAAACCAGTCTCCTCTTGGCTTATATCGAAATCCTCCGACATTTTTCCTTACAAATCCTCGGTTTGTACTTCTAATTCATGACCGGCATTTTGTTTTGTTTTCTCTCTGCGTTTGTCACTAATCACGCAACACCGACGTCCTACGTCATCCGCCATCCGCCGGAACGGCTTCCACGTACCACAGTTAGATGAAGTGAGAGAGAAGTGTTTATTACGTTTGAAATATGGATATTTTTCTTACAAAAACACATAGATTCACTACAGGATGCCTTTATTCACCCCCCGGAGCCGTGTGAGGCATGTTTTATTATGGATGCGCGCTTTTTATTTAACGTGTTTTGGATTGTTGAACAAAAACACCCGCAGCAATGATGGAGCTTAGAAGTGCCAGGACAATTTTTTATATAACTCCGATTGGATTCGTCTGAAAGAAGAAAGTCATATACACCTAGGATGCTTCGAGGGTGAGTAAATAACAGGCTTTCATTTTGGGTGAACTAACCCTTTAATGCATTACCAACATTAAATAACAATGAGCAATACATTTGTTACAGTATTTATTAATGTTTTTTCAATGTTAAAAATGCATAGTTCATGCTAGCTCGATCCATTAACTACTATTACCAGAAGCAATTATTAGTTTTAATAATGTATACTGTTTTAGAAGTATTGAAACTATGATAACTAATGTAGTTAACAAATGGAACCTTATTGTAAACTGTTACCTGTATGTTTATATGTGTGGTTGGTAAATGAGACACAATGTGACTGATGACCTTCTTTATAATAACTTGTGCAGTGCTTTAGTATAAAACAGTAAAACATTTTTAAAGAGTTCAGAAACCATTGAGAATTATAAAGCACATCTGCATTCTTTTGAGCTGTTGGTCTGTGTCTGTGCTGCAGGTCTGTCCATAGACTACGACATGGAGCACCTGTACTGGATCAGCTCAGGAAACAGCACAATTAACCGCTGTAAGCTGGATGGATCAGGACTGGAGGTGTTAGACGCGGTCAAAGGCAAACTGAACAAAGCCTCTGCGCTGGCTATCATGGGTAAATACAGCACTGATTGTTTCATTGGCTGTCTTTTTGAAGTACTAATGTTTTGACTGCTGTTGTGTAGGGGATAAGCTGTGGTGGGCGGATCAGGGCACGGATGAGATCGGCACCTGTGATAAGAGTGATGGAGGAGACTGGAAGGTCTTGAGAAACAGCACGTCTCCCATGATGCACATGAAGATCTACAATGAGACCGTGCAGACAGGTTAAAGAATCAACTGCATGCAGTGTCTAAGGAATTAATCAGTTGACAGCCAAAATAATCTGTGCCGAGTGCAAATTGCAATTTTTAGGCTAGCTCCTTGCGCCTACGTTGAGCCTCATTAGCATTGAAAAAAGGATTGTTTGGGCTGAAAATAATGACCTTGACTTAATTTAAAGCGATAGTTCACCCAAAACTGAAATTTGCTGAACATGTACGTACTTTCAAGCCATCCAAAATGTAGATGAGTTTGTTTCTTCATCAGAACAGATTTCAAGAAATGTATCATTACATCTCTTACTCACCAGAGAATGCTCTGCAGTGAATGGGTGCCGTCAGAATGAGAGTCCAAACAGCTGATAAAAACATCACAATAATCCACAAGTAAACCACACGACTCCAGTCCATCAGTTAACATCTTGTGAAACAAAAAAGCTGCATGTTTGTATGAAACAAATGCATCATTAAAGTGTTTTAACTTTGGCTAAAATACGAGTCCATAATATTAACGTTTCCTCCAGTGAAAAACTTCATCCCTTGTTGTCCTCTCACATCAAAATCCACCCACAAATTTGTTTAGATCTGTTTTGATCAGATTTGGTTTGTAAACAGTGCTTCATCTATGCAGATGTCTCTCCTGATTCAGACCAGATGATTTTTTCACTGGAGAAAGCAATATTATGGATTATTGACTCCAAAACGTCAAAGTCTTAAAAATTGTATAATGATGGATTTATTTTTTAAAAACACGCAGCGTTCCCCTTCACCGGATGCTAATTGATGGACTGGAGTGGTGTGGATCACTTGTGGATTACTGTGATGTTTTTATCAGCTGTTTGGACTCTCATTCTGACGGCACCCATTCACTGCAGAGTATCCATTGCTGAGACAATGATGGAATGATACATTGCTCTCTTCATCTTTGATGGCCTGAGGCTTAGTACTTTTTCAGCATGTTTTCAATAACTACTCCTTAATTTAAATGTTTATGTCACATTACTTTACAGAGTTAGTGCAGATGACCTCTGGCTAAACTGAATTGTGGGTGGTTTGTTAGACAGTTTGTACTGAAATCCGTCCTCTAGCTAAACTTGAGTTTGCTGGCCTTGACTGTGTGTGTTGTATCATCAGGTTCAAACATGTGCAGTAACAACAATGGTGACTGCTCTCAGCTGTGTCTGCCCACGTCTCCCACCAGCCACTCCTGCATGTGCACCGCAGGATACAGCCTGAGGACCGGACAGCAGTCCTGTGAGGGTACGAACACACACACACACACACACACACACCTGACATTCAGACTCTCAATTATGTGTCACTTCCTTTAGGAAAAATTGCATGTAGGTACAATAGACCACAGTGTTTGCATTTCCTTCAGAGAACAGCTGGAAACACCATACCAAACGTACAGAGGAGCAGAAAACAGCTCAATAATATTAGAAGTCAGTTCAACACTGTAGGTTTAACTAGATTTTCTCCAAATCTCAATTTATTAGTTAAAGATTCTACAAAACGTTTTGTAGTCAACAACAAGTGACGTTGAAGACATATATAGTGTTATAAAAGATTTTCATTTCAAATGAATGCTGTTCTTTTGAACGTTTCTTTTGAAAAGTATCACGGTTTACATAATATATGCAGCATCATCTGTTTTCAGTATTGATAAATCAGCATATCAGAATGATTTCTGAAGGATCATGTGACACTGAAGACTGGAGTAATGATGCTGAAAATTCAGCTTTGATCACAGGGATGAATTACATTTTAAAATGTTGATTTCAGGTGTGGGCTCTTTCCTGCTGTACTCTGTTCATGAGGGCATTAGAGGAATCCCACTGGACCCCGCTGACAAATCCGATGCCCTTGTACCGGTTTCAGGAACATCACTCGCAGTCGGGATTGATTTTCATGCCGGTGAGTCTCAACACTAATGATTCATAATCCCCATGTTTTCAGATGTACAATAGTGGTATAATATGTGAGCCTGGAGCACAAAAGCAGTCTTAAGTCGCTGGGGTATATTTGTAGCAATAGCCAAAAATACATTGTATGGGTCAAAATTATAGATTTTTCTTTTATGCCAAAAATTATTAGGATATTAAGTAAAGATCATGTTCAGTGAAGATATTTTGTAAATTTCCTACTGTAAATATATTAAAACTTTAAATATACAAAAAAAAATTTGATTAGTAATATGCATTGCTAAGAACTTCCTTTGGACAACTTTAAAGGAGATTTTCTTAATATTTAGATTTTTTTTGCACCCTCAGATTCCAGATTTTCAAATAGTTGTATGTCAGCCAAATATTGTCCGATCCTAACAAACCATACATCAATGGAGAGCTTATTTATTCAGCTTTCAGATGATGTGTAAATCTCAATTTTGAAAATTTGACCCCTTATGACTGGTTTTGTGGTCCACATATGATCAGGTGTTAAACTGGGCTGGAAAAAGTAAAGAATTATGTTTGTCTGTCAGTAAATTATATGAATATGTTCCAGTCTGTTTTTTTGCTGTTGTAGTATATATTTTGGCTTCAAAAAGCACCCCGTCTCTTATATACATTGTGATGTAATTTACTTCATTTGTATCCTTGTGTATTGTTTATAATTCATTCTCTTGCCTGTAGTTTTGCCTTTGAATGAATTTTATTATTATGTACTTTAATAATTACTGGAAGCATTTTTTATTTTTTGGTTTGTTTATGAATTGCTTGACTACATTCTGTTGCTTCAAAAAAAATGTTCAGTTCAGTAGCATATATTGTGACATTTTAGGATATTCAAATAGTATCAAGAATTGTAAAAATATACCGGTTCCTGAAATCTACTGGGATTCTGATATTGGGAAAACTGTAGTGGCCTCAAAGGATGCTATGCAGCCAGATGATCTCATGCCATATCTGTTATTATATTGTATCATTTAGCATTGCTGGAATAACATCCAGCAACTATCTAACAGCCATGAGTTATTTTTAGGTTCTGGTGTCAATATACAATGTATCCAGAACTGTAAAATTAATATTTTCCCCAGTAACTGTCTTTAATTTTTTTTAAATAATTCATACGTGTGTTCTTTCTGTTGTCATGTAGATAATGACACCATCTATTGGGTTGACATGGGTTTGAGCACCATCAGCAGAGCTAAGAGAGATCAGACGTGGAGAGAGGACATCATCACTAACGGCATCGGCCGTGTGGAGGGCATCGCTGTCGACTGGATCGCCGGTGAGTCTCAAGCACAGACACTTTCAGGTGCGTTTAGAACTTTATTACAATACTGATGAGCAAAACCTTGCCTTGTTCCTCTGTGTACTGTAGGAAACATCTACTGGACGGACCAGGGCTTTGATGTGATTGAGGTTGCCAGATTGAATGGCTCGTTTCGATATGTGGTCATCTCCCGAGGACTGGACAAACCTCGGGCCATTGCTGTACATCCTGAGAAAGGGTGAGATCTGAGTAACTTCCTGTCTTTTATTGTGCGTTTCTGCGGCATGAATGAAGGTGATCTCCTCATGGCTGGTTGTGTGCAGGTATCTGTTTTGGACGGAGTGGGGACAGTATCCACGCATAGAAAGATCTCGTCTGGATGGATCTAACAGAGCCGTGCTGGTGAACGTCAGTATTAGCTGGCCCAACGGCATCTCCATTGATTATCAGGTGCGTAGGGCACATTTATGTCAACCCTGTGTAGTAAGCACTAGGGGTGTAATCATTCACTCGTTTACTTGATCATCAAAATTGAATTGAACTGAATATCATTATGAATTGGACCTAATCAAACGTTCTGAATTTGCATTCCTAAACCAAATTGAAAATGAATCATGTTCGATTATTCATTTATTTATACTGTTTTTCCTCACTTTGTCCACCTTTTCCATCCGCCGCAGTGGTAAATACTAGGGATGCACGATATATCGGCCACCATATCGGTATCGGCCGATAAATGCTCATTTTTTCTGTTATCGGTATCGGCCTGATAAGAAAATTTGGCCGATATCTTAAAGCCGATAAATAATGCATTATTTCCTTCAGAGACACTTCAGATGTGCGCTCTTCGTTTGCAGCCTTTTGTGCAATTGTACGTTGTAATATTGTGTTTATTTGATGTATATCTGATTTATCTCATATAGAATGCGTTTGGTTAAGTTAAAAGAGCGCTTCAGTTTACCGGTGATCGTCTTTAGCTCAGCGCACGCAGCTCAAACAGCAGTGCACAACATTAATAACTATGATTGGGAATGTTGTGTATATAACATTCTAATGAGAACATTATTATAATAAAACGTTGTGCATTCTTTGGGTTTAGTTGCTGTGTTTCAGTGCGTTGTTATGGGAAGAGCGCATCCACAACAGGATCACACATTCTGACTATAGCATGCAATAACTGCGTCATTTTGTACATATATAAGTTGTAATATTATGTTTATGTTGTATTAATATTAATCTCAGGATGCATTTCCTTGAGTTAAATAAGCTGCCAGCAAAACGCTTCAGTTTACCGTGTTCATTCAGCTCTTCAGCTTCAGCACGTGCAGCTCAATGGCTGCTATTTAAAACAGTGGTATTCATTTGTTACTTTTTCAAAATCATTGATATATTATTATTAATAACAACAACCACTTGTATTTTTCTCTTATTATTTTCATCAACAATATGGTTTAGTAATTAAAATCATTTAATTATTGTCAGTGCAGAGGCTATTCCGTTTTATTGATCTGTGGCGCATTCATTTTGATTCTTTACACGTGTAATGATGTCCAGTGACTTGTTTGCATTATTTATGCATTATTTTATTTATTTGTAAGACTTTTTTATGACTAAATTTGGTAATGGGAGAGTAAAAATATTTTTAAAACGTACACTGTTCAAACTAGGCTGCTTATGTTGAAGTGTTTGGGATGTGGCTTTTAATGATGAGACCTTTTTTGTAATCAGGCTCTCAAAAAGTATATAACAATTTGGATATAGATTTATCGGCCAACATATCGGTTATCGGCTTTCAAAAATAAAGAATAATCGGTTATCGGTATCGGCCAAAATTTTCATATCGGTGCATCCCTAGTAAATACAAACCAGTTACATGTGAAACTCGTTCAGGAATTCACCACCAGGTGCCGCAAAGGGACAGTTGGCACCAGTGCTCAATAAAGCTGAACATTGTGACATTTTCACTTGGAAAATGAAGATGAAAAATAATAAACCTAGATAATAACGTTTGACAAGGCAAACTCTGATGTTGGCTTGAAAAAAGCCTGTTCAGAAAGTTAGAAGTAGATTTAATATCTGGAAGTCTGAAGATTTTATGTTTGAAGCAGTTTTAAAAGCTTGAAGTTTGAAGGTTTTAAGACCATATGAGACAGCAAGATAGATAGATAGATAGATAGTTTTAGCATGTTTCTAGCATGATTTAGCACATTGCTAGCATGTGTTAGCAAGTTTCTATCATGAATTAACACAATGCTAACATGTTTTAGCATGATTTAGCATATTGCTAACATGTTTTCTACAGCTTACTAGAGTTTGGAGAAAAATGTCAAGCATAGCGTTAGTTCTGGCAGGTCACGTTAGTCAAGCTCGCATCAGCTGACTCTCAGCTGATCCCCATCAACCTATGGGAATACGACACCTATCTAAGCATTCACATATAAGGACCCTCAGTAGTATCAGCAGTTTTTGCATTGCTCAATAGCTAATTATCCTCCTCCATCCCCAGCTCCTCCTCTGTTAGTCAGGATTCAGCCTTCTGATTCTTCTTTGAATCAGACTAATTCTAAAACTGGAAGTCTGAAGATTTTATGTTTGAAGCAGTTTTAAAAGCTTGAAGTTTGAAGGTTTTAAGACCATATGAGACAGCAAGATAGATAGATAGATAGATAGTTTTAGCATGTTTCTAGCATGATTTAGCACATTGCTAGCATGTGTTAGCAAGTTTCTATCATGAATTAACACAATGCTAACATGTTTTAGCATGATTTAGCATATTGCTAACATGTTTTCTACAGCTTACTAGAGTTTGGAGAAAAATGTCAAGCATAGCGTTAGTTCTGGCAGGTCACGTTAGTCAAGCTCGCATCAGCTGACTCTCAGCTGATCCCCATCAACCTATGGGAATACGACACCTATCTAAGCATTCACATATAAGGACCCTCAGTAGTATCAGCAGTTTTTGCATTGCTCAATAGCTAATTATCCTCCTCCATCCCCAGCTCCTCCTCTGTTAGTCAGGATTCAGCCTTCTGATTCTTCTTTGAATCAGACTAATTCTAAAATGTGTACATAACATTATTGAACTTTAACGATATCTGCAATGCATTCATGTTGGTTCTGTTCTGTTTACCCTGGGCGGGTTATCGCTGCTCTCCCTGCTCTCATCCATGCTAGATTGCATGGATGCGCAGGGAGTTCTTGCCCAGAACAGAACCATACCGCCAATCCAAACTGTATGCTAATTGTCAATAATCTTTGACGATAGTGGTCCTGACAGAACTGCATATTACATGAAGATGTGTACTAGTAACTTCAAGCAAATTTCTCTTATTAACTGATGACTCAATATGGATGCATACTAAACAAAAACACAGACTAAATTTGTGGTCATGGTCTGGGTGTCCTGTAGGAGGGTTGGCTGTACTGGTGTGACGCGCGCACGGATAAGATTGAGCGCATTAAGCTGGAGACGGGCGAGAACAGAGAGGTGGTGCTTTCCAGCAACAACATGGACATGTTCTCCGTATCTGTGTTTGAGAGCTACATATACTGGAGCGACCGGTCAGTGCAAGCTTGTACACGTGAAACTATTCGTTCCTCATCACCAACATTGTTGCATTGTTTAATACAACTTTATTTCATTTGCTATCCCTATTTAAAAGCCTTTGAACTTTGTTCAACCAGATGATGTTAAAGCTGAAGTGTCCAGTTTCTATATGTTAAAAGTATTACATAGAACTGTATATATATATATATATATATATACATATATATATATTTACATGTAAATTGGACATCCCAATTATTATTTTATTTATTAAAAAACATGTTATTTCTTTAGGACTCATGCGAATGGTTCAATAAAGCGTGGCAGTAAAGATAATGCAACTGATTCAGTAAGTTTGAGGACAGGCATCGGCGTCCAACTCAAAGACATCAAGGTCTTCAACAGAGCGCGACAACAAGGTGAGTCTTAAATGACTTTGTTCTTGCAAGAATGTGCTAAAAAAACAACCTCTAATACAACATAAATTATGCAGAGACATGTTTATATTTACCTTTTTTTTTTTACAGGTTATATATATATATATATATATATATATATATATATATATATATATAT